GCATGGGACGGTAGGAGGAGAATAGCCCACAAGCCCCTCTGAGATCTCGGTTACCAGTAGGCGGGATTCCAGGGCAGCTGGGGGTGGGTGCACAGCGAGGTGTTCTGGGGACCTAAGGGGGCGTGGCAGTAGGAGGCATTGATAGGGCTCTGGTATGCACCAGGGGCCATGCAATCTAGCAGGTGAAGCATCTACAGTGCTTATGTGAGCCAAGGGCAAGCCGCAAGCCGTGTTTCACTCTCTTCCATTATTTCGACAGCCCTTTGGTGCACCCAGGAGGCGAACCCAAGCCCAGCCTAGAAACACGCCTTTCCCTCCCAACAGCTGCTGGACAGACAGGAGAGAAGAATGGCTGAGGCCAGGGAGTCAGCAATGGACAGCAACAGTGGGTTTCAAGGAGATACTCCTGGGGGAATTCTGCGTCAAAAATTTGAAAATTCTGCGCACACTATCCGGAGGGCCCAGGGTGAGGGGTGGGCAGGGATCGCCCTCTCGCAGGACCCACTCGAGGTCGACCCGAGAAACAGGCAGTAAGGCGGCCTCCATCTCCTGAAGTACGCGCCGGGGAATCCGAAGGGTGGAGAACCCCACGTGCCAATCTAGCACCAGGGGATCCACCCAGTGCCCCCGGTCACAGTCCAGGAGGTCCCCGATCCCGGTGGCTTCTGCCAGGATCAACTTCTGGCACACCAAGGGGGACTCTGCCACATGCACACAAAAATGAAGATTGTGCAGGAGATCTACCCCCTCGGTGGCCGCCACGGACCTGGTCGCTGAGACTAGAGTCCAGGTCTGGAGGAGGTCAGCTCAGAGAGGTCTCGCAGAAGACCTCTTAGATGGAGATAAAAGAGCTGGTGGTCGTATCGGAGCCCTCGGAGGTGGCGGAGGAAGGCGTGCGCCAGCGTGCTCCACATCGAGCTACCTGCACAATAAAGGAGTCTCTGCAGGGCCTGGAGGCAGAAGATATGGACCTGAGTGCGTAAGCACTTCAGGCCCTGTCCTCCCCCCTCCAGGGGAAGATGTAAAACCCCCGCAGAGACCCAGTGCAGTCCTCTCCAAAAGAACTCCAGAACCAGCTTCTGGATATTAGCCAGGAAACCCGGGGCCGGGACCAGGGTGTTGAGCTGCTGCCAGAGCATGGACAGGACTAGCTGGTTGCGCACCAGTGACCTCCCCGGCAGGGAGAGGCACTGGAGTAGTCCCGTCCACCTCCGCAGCCGCTCCGACACCCTGCCCTCCAACCTTTGCCAGTTCTCTGGCGGAAAAGGATGCATGGCGGAAAGGTAGACGCCAAGATAGAGCAGTGGACTTGCGTTCCACCGCATGGCTTGAAGTGCGGGTGGGAGGGAGCTCGCCTGCCACCCGTCCCTGACCATCAGGCCAGGCCCTTTACTCGGCGGCCTCCTCCACCTGGGTCAACTGGGTCAAGAGCTCTGGCCTGACTGCTCTTGCGGCTTCCCTTTGCTTCCCCGTCAGAAGTCATTTTTCTGCGGGGAAGCAAAGAAATCCATGGGGGACATGAATTTTGCGCATGAGCAATGATGCAGAATTCCCCCAGGAGTAGAGGAGAGATCAGTCATAGCTGTGCAGGGCTGACATGAGCCCTTCAGGCAGGGGTGAAAGTAACTTAATGGACTTAAGGGTCCTGGGCAAGATGGGGGGGCATCTCTGGGCCCCCAGAAGGGGAGGGGCCTTGGGCAAAAGGGGCAGACTCCTCCAGCTAGCCCTTCAGCGCTGTCTGGCCCACACCACCCACGGCTCCGACCACGGCTGGGAGCCCTGGGCCATTTAAATCGACGGGCCCTGGGGCAGCTGCCCCTTTTGCCCCCGCCCCCCCCCCCCCCCATATCAGCGGCCCTGCCGATATGGTTGGCTGCGTACTGGCTTTCTTACTGGTACGCCAGACCGGACCATCTTACTTTCACCTCTGCCTTCAGGTTGTGAATCTGGGGACGGAGATGTCTTTTAGTCACATCAGCGTGTCCAATAAAAGGGAATGAGTGGGAGAGGTGGCCAGCAAGGGGCTGGAACCATCCAGGAACTTGTAGAAGCTGTAGTGAGACACAGATTGCACAGGAGCCAAAGAAACACCCACATAAGGCACCAGGAAAGAGGTGTTTTCCGTCCTTCCCAGTTAATGACAGCTGGAAATATCAAAGCTCCCTCCCATGCTGCAGACCCATGTGGCAAGTCTCCCCCTCCCAGGGAACAGGCATTAGGAATTACACAGACAGGGGTTTCCCCCAGGCTCTGCTCTGCAGCATCAGACAGCCACTGGGACATGCTTTCACTGCGGCCCCCATATGGCCACCCTGCGTGGCTCTGGGAGCTGCTCATTAGGGAAGTTTTTAAGAAGCAGGAATAAGCCCTTTTGTACTAGAGCAGCAGAGTTCTCCCAGTGCAGGGCTGCTGAAGGCTGCTGTACTCCATTCTCCTGTGCATCCTTCAGGATCAGAGGATGGTGTGGGTGGGGCATGCTCTGATCTCCTGCTCCGGTGGCAGCCCACTGGCCTGGGAGATGCCATGAATTCACGCAGCCTGCAGGGCGGCTGTAATGTATGCTGGGACCCACATCAGCCCTCGGAGCAGCCCAGCATCTACAAGGTACAGAAGTGGCCTCTATGTAAATTGCCTCTATATAAATCCATGGTATGCCCACATCTTGAATACTGTGTGCAGATGGGGTCGCCCCATCTCAAAAAAGTTATATTGGACTTGGAAAATATTCAA